TGATTATAGTGGTGCTTTTGGTCCCGTGGTTTTTTACTCTTCACATCGAAGGGTTTTCCATATAAATCTTGGTGTCTTGTGTGATTGGTTTATCATTGCCTTGTTATATTTGTTTGACTGAATTACTTGCTGCCTTACTATCATATTGTTTGTGGTTGTTTGTCTTCTCTTGGTTCAAATCGAAAAGGAAAAGTATAGACTTGGGTATTCTTCCGTTGTTATCCTGTCAGGCATTCTTTGTTAGTGCCTTGTCTTTCCCAACATCTAGTTACAAGTTGATTCAACCAACATGCGTGCAAGTTGACATTGGCACCATGGTTATAGAAAAGGGATAAATGCATGTTAAATGTTAACTGACATCACAATAGTCTTGAGCAGATAATGCTTGGACCTTTGAATGCCATTAGCAATGAGAAATCAAAATAATTATTGTAGGCAACTGGTGACTACAAAAATCAAAGAAGAACTTTTAAACAAAGACTTCACTTTTAGTCTTCAGGTCACATGCCAAAACATTGTTCATTCATCTTGTTTACACCTAATATTTTTTTGTCTCAATATTAAAGAGCTTTTGGATCAATACAATATAACATTCTCATCACTAGTAAGATAACTATTTATAGACTTTGTTTTGATGCTATATATAGGCCTCGATTATATATGGATGAATGAGCACTCAAAAAAGTGTGCATTAAAATCTCTCAAGACGATATAGAATGCAAGATGTCATGAGAAAAAAAGCTACATATTAGAAATTTAATGAAAGAAGAATTTAGAACCACATGCATATTCAAGTTCGACTAATAAGATATCAAAGGGGACTGACAAAACATAATAGGCTGCTACTCTAGGCTCGTGTCACTTCTTCAAGATCCACTCCTTTCAAAAATTAACAAACCACACTGAAGAATCAGGTGATGTTCAATCTAACTTGGACTATTTCATTGAATACTTATTTACTTGGACTATTTCATCGAATACTTATTACCTTCCTATCTAGCTTTGGATTCATTGAAATCACTAGCTTCTCCCATGAGTAGGTTTGGCATTGTTGCCATTGTCAATTTTCTGCATTCGAGAGATTATTTCCATATATAGAGAGTATAAAGATTACACATCCCTAAATATCCGCCATTCCTATCCCTAAAGATCAACTATTCTATCTCGACAAATATGCTATTCAATCCCTCTAAATTTGTTTTACTATCCCTCCAAATCAGTCATTCTATCACAATATTTATTTCTCTGATTCTACAACAAAATCTATATGATAATACAAATTTATAGAACTATATAATTACTTTAATGTATGCAACTATTTAGATTTTTGTCATGCTAACATCCCCCTTTAAATCTATGCTGGTGGATGAAGAAATATCAATTTACCTACTAAAAACTGATGGTGTTTGTAACAAACAGTAATCACAAAAGAAACAGTAGCCAAACTCTTTCACTGATAGTATTTACTGGTGTACTAAGGTAACATAGACATAGTACTAATACAATAGAAATCGCATAAGATAAAGTAACTGGAATAGATAGTAGAAGGATATGAGAAATCAGAAGAAGGGGATGAGAAATCAGAACCGAGTCAAAACATATTCGCTGCTCTGCAATGTCGTACTACTATTGATTTTTTATCTGACTCGTTTAACAGACCTTGCCGTTTTACTTATGTACCCCTACTCTTTTCCAAAAGTAATCCCCAAGTTTAGCAGGAGGAATCACCTTTCTAGCACTCCTACGTGGCATAACCATGTGTTGTTCCATTATTTCATCCTCCGTGTCATCCTTGTCATCTACCAACGTGTTTGAGTTCACAACAGTGTTGTCGTGCCATGTTTTTTGTAAACACATCATCTATTTGAAGATCATTGGACACATGTGGAAGAGTAAGGGCTCCTTTATCTACAGTTTCTCATATATAATGACAGTCTACTTCGATGGGTTTGGCCTCCTCACGAAAAACTGTATTAGTAGCAATCTCAATAGCACTTATATTGTTAGCGTGGAGAGGGGTAGGATGAGATTCATGAGGAAATATAATCTCAAAAAGTAATCCACAAATCCATACTACCTCGAAGAAAGCAGTAGACATGGATCGATGTGCAACCTCTATTGAAGATTTTGACACACGATCTTGCCAGTGAAGGAGACAGGAGTTTCATCGAGGGGGTTCAAAAAGATAAGTAAGCACGATAATAGTATCCATATAGGCGGGGCGACTCAATTATAAATGGGTAGAATAAGATATAAGCAACCAAAAATATTCAACTCCACCTCAACCAAAACAATAAATCGAGTAACTATATGTTTGACATAACAAAAAAATATAAGTACACGAGAATATATTTTTTTAAACCTATAATTATGGGTCTTATTAGTGTTATTGTTGTATATAAATGTTATTTAATTTTTGAAACTAAAAAGGATTAATTTTGAATTCGATCATATTGTAGCAATAGAATTTGTGTCGAGAAAATAATTATCAAGATGGGAAAATATCGCGACAATCGTATTTATTTATAAATTTCAAATAATTACTCTTATTTATTTGATCTTACTTATAATTATATTCTTTATTAATCAAATGTAAAATAAATGTTTGACTTAAAATGAGTATGAGAGAATGTTTTTTTTTAATTCTAATTATAAAAACTTAAAACACATTGTAAGATTTACTTAATTTTATAAAAATAGAAAAGAAATTTATTTTTAATATCTAATAAAATATTATAAATCCCAATAGATTTTCAAACAAAACAATTTTTTATTTATTTACAAATAAAAATGAAAATTAGTTGAAAATAGGGCGGAAAACGGTGTTATCTGAAATTGAATCCGCTAAGCCAAGCCTTTGGCATACGTTCAGGGGGTTCATCACCTAATATATACGTATAAATCAAAAAATTGATCCTATATGTATCGTGTAATTTTTTCAACGATGCGGGTTCGGATGAACCCCCTTGGATCCATGTAGGTCTGCCCCCGGATCTTGTTTTTTACTCTTCTAAGATATCAATGACTCTCCAGTGGCTAAATGACGAGTATTAAGACATCTCTCTCAATCAGAATCACTAAAAGCATTAAGATGAATAGGAGAAACACTTGTAAAGAACAATCCACGAGTAGATGTTCCTAGAAGATACCAAATGATACGACGGACAACCACCAAATGGAGATGTGGGGAGCTTGCATGAATTGACTAACTTGTTGAACTGCAAAAGAGATATTATGTCTAGTAAAAGTAAAGTAATTTAGACTCCCAACAAATTGTAGAAATATAGTTGGATCATGAAGAAGATCATCTTCCTCACGACAATACTTCACATTCAATTTTAATGGAGTATCTACAGAGAAGAAATCTTAAAGACTAACCAAAGAAATCAGATCCTAAGTATATTTGTGTTAATTTAGAAACACACCTCAAACATTATTATGAACTTTCAAACCCAAGAAATATGTAAGAGTACCAAGATCTTTCATATGAAAAGAATCTTTTAAGTTGTCTTTGTAGGCTAGTGATTAATGAAGGATTCCTATGATGATAATGTCATCTACATACACCAAAAGAAGAACACAAAATGTTGATGTTTTTCGAAGAAACAAAGATGAGTCATTGTTGACACCCATTTTTTATCTTCCCCGATAGAAATTAACTGACGAGCTTTTAAATTTTCGAACTATTTATAAAGTACAAATACTCTGCATAGTCATTTCAAATAGTTTTAATCGTTTTTATGCATATTTTATTAATTTAGTGTCAGTTTGAAATATTGTTTTAAATTTTTGAATTAATTAGTGAGTGTTCAAATTAATTATTTCACAAGTAAGTTAATTATTTTATTTTGTTAAGATCGCGAAGCTTGCAAATGAATTATATAAATTCATCCTATTTAATTATAATTTTTTGAAGCTGGAACTGATAAGACGTAATAAAAAAACACGCAGCACAATGCCTTTTTCTAAAAAAAGAAAAAAGCTATAAAGAAAAATTATACTTCAATAAAATAATTAAAATAAGCATCTTATTATTTTTTTACATAGTTAAATTTTGTGTGTTTTACAAAATTTAACGAAAAATTAATTCAAATTAGTTGGGTGCTTTTTAAGTAAAATATTAATAGTTACTCGACTTTTTATGTGAACTTTTAATAGTGGAGTGACTTTCGAGTTATAAAACAAAGTTAAGTATTTTTCAAACGAACAATTCAAAGTTGAGTGACTTCCTAAATATGAACTCTTAAAAGTTGTATGCTTGCAGTTTCCTTTTGTTACACATATTTCATCATCAACAGAACAACAAGGACTAGTAAAAGAGGACAAAAGAAACAGCAACAACGGTGATAATACCACAATTGCACCACCATTTATAGACTTTCTTGGAGTAGGAGCCACTTGAATAATTGAAATCTTCTTTTTTCTTTCCAAGAAAAAGGCGCCCTCTCTCCCCTTGTATTAGTAAGCATGTAACAAGTATTTTAGTTTTTTTCATTCTATTATTATGTGTCAATTTATGATACTGAAAGCATATAAAAAAAAGACTCCACTTTGCAAACTATTAACAATAAGATGTTGTCACTTCTCATTTGTTTTAGTAGTGAGATCAAATAGTGTGACCACAATAAGCTTCATAATTCTTTGGTCATTGAAATTAAATGTCACATATACTCTGGTGGCGAAGTTAAGAATTTCGCGAAAGATATTTAAGATAAATTATGCATCATGTAAGGTACATAGTCTTTAAGAATAGACACAAAACTATAAAAATAATTTAGTTATTTTTTGAACTTTTAGGACCTATAATTTTCTTTTGAAGCTTATTGCTTTAAATATGACAATTTGTGTGATTATGATATCTTCTAAGCAAAGGTGGAATGCATATATAGATAGTATATATAATGTGAAAAGTCAAAAGATTAAAGTGTTTTAGAGCTTTTCTCTGTTCATCTGATACTTTTTTTTGTAATCCGTCCTAAAAAACAGACGGAGTGACAGACATTAATCCTTCTAAATCTGCTTTATTATCCCTCCAAATCAACTATTCTATCACAATATTTATGTATCTGATTCTACCACAAATCTATACGATAATACTAATTTATAGCTCTATATAACTACATTAATATATTCAATTATTTAGATGTCAATCGTGCTAACAACCTTCACCCCAAAATCATGTTTCACTCTTTCGTTAGTCATCTACAGCTACAGATTCGTCACCATTGGTAGTGCCTTGGCTAGCTTTTTGTTCCTGGGATAAAAGAAATCGGTTTGCTTCAGATTTCTAATTAAAATTATTGTAGAAGGAAGTTGCTTCAATTGACAAACACTAATAAGTATCAGAATATTACTTTTAAGTTAAGATAGAAAAAGAGCACTAGAGTAAATTAGTTATACAATTAACGGTACTAGACAAACCTTAGAATTGAACCACTGTTGTGTCCATTTATTTAGATCGTCCACTTTCACTTCATAACCATCATTCACTGATTCGAGACTCGGTGTACTCACAGATATTCCATGTTGGACAAACGTATTCATTTCCGGGCACTCATGAATTGTCACTTCTCTGAGAAATGGAAATTTAAGAGGATGCTCAGTTAGAAAGAAATGCACCAGCTTAGGCAGTTCTTTAAGCTTCAACTCGTTCAACAGGGGAAATAAGGTCATTATTTCTTCTCCTTGTTGTTCCTCTTTTGAGATCACTTCTTCCATTGATGCACATTCTTCTATCCCTAAACTTCGGAGGTTTAGAAGACCTCGAGCCACTGATGGAGGCATCAAGTTTCTCAAGTTTCCACAATTCCATACACGCAATCTTCCAAGTTTGCTGAAGTAGGCACTTGAAAGTTGGTCAGAGCATAGAGCAGTTATGCTTTCAAGCTCCCAGATTCTTAGTTCTTCCAAGTTGGGAAAAGAAACCTGCAAGTATTATAAAGCAATTCAGAATTTAAAATTTATTGGTATCTCTAATAAACTTGAGTTCATATCTAATAACAATCACGGTATATCTAGATATTACTAATGCAGCAGCAGACCAGGAGTGCATGACACAAACCTTAGAATTGAACATTGCTTTCACCTCATCATCATTGTTCATAGTACTTTCGAGACACACAGATATTTCCTTTTGGACAAACGTCTTCATTTTAGGGCACTTACTAATTGTCACTTCTCTGAGAAATGGAAATTCAGTAACACTCTTTGTCAGAAAGAAATGCCTCAGCTTAGGCAGATTGACAAGAAGCACTTCTTCCAACAGGGGAAATAAGGTCATTATTTCTTTTCCTAGGTGTTCCTCTTTTGTGATCACTTCTTGCATTGATGCACATCCTTTTATCCGTAAACTTCGGAGGTTTAGAAGACCTCGAGCCACAGATGGAGACATCAAGTTTCTCAAGTTTCCACAATCCCATACATCCAATCCTTTAAGTTTGCTGAAGTAGGCACTTGAAAGTTGGTCAGAGCATAGAGCAGTTATGCTTTCAAGCTCCCAGGTGATTAGCTCTTCCAAGTTGGGAAAAGAAACCTGCAAGTATTATAAAGCAATTTAGAATTTGAAATTTATAGATATCTCTAATGAACTCGAGTTAATATCCTATAACAATCGCGGTATCTCTAGATATTACTAATGCAGCAGCAGACCAGGAGTGTATGACACAAACCTTAGAATTGAACATTGTTTTCACCTCATCATCATTGTTCACAGTACTTTCGAGACTTACAGGTATTCCCTGTTGGACAAACGTCTTCATATAAGGGCACTCACGAATTGTCACTTCTCTTAGAAATGGAAATTCAGTAACACGCTTTGTCAGAAAGAAATGCCTTAGCTTAGCCAGATTGTCAAGACGCAGTTCTTCCAATCGAGGAAATAAGGTCATTATTTCTTCTCCTAGTTGTTCCTCTTTTGTGATCACTTCTTCCATTGATGAACATCCTTCTATCCATAAACTTCGGAGGTTTAGAAGACCTCGAGCCACTGATGGAGACATCAAGTTTCTCAAGTTTCCACAATTCGATACACGCAATCTTTTAAGTTTGCTGAAGTAGGCAGTTGGAAGTTGGTCAGAGCATAAAACATTTATGTTATTAGCCACATGGATATATAGCTTTTCCAAGTTGGGAAAAGAAACCTGCAAACATTGAAGTATCAAACTTTGATGTAGAAAACACTACGCCAAAAGCGCTTAGACATATTTATTTATATTTATAATTGTATATGAGAAAAAATTTCAAATATATAAAATTAATGGGCCAGAATTAGGGGTAAAGAGAAACTAAGCAAATACCACATAAAAACAAAATAGTTACAAATATATATTCTCTTACATTCATACTCCACTAAATAATTACACTATATAACCCTTAAGTCATCAATATCATATATTATATTGGTATTATTAATGATGATAATTTCGCTTAACTTATACTAAATCAGCAAGTATATATATACTATAATGTTATCATTAAGGTTTTTTCAGAAATTGCTCATTAAACAATGAAATTATAAGAGTATATACACATATTATCCGTTAACAAGGGTACATGAAATTATTCTATTTAAATTGATAAAATGAGATTGTGAAGAGAAAAAGTTATTTCCTACATTTTTATCAGTTAAAGTGATTCTAAAATAAATAAAACAAGAACAAAGTTCTTTAAAAGTAATAATTTTATCAAGAATAAGATTTTTTTAGAAGAAAAGAATTAATTAATTATTCGGAAAATGACATTTTTGACCTATTTGGTAACAATAGGGACATTTTTGGATCAAACTACTAAATGGCAAGGGTATTTTTGGACCAAAGTGTTAAGGGAAAAATCATTTTTGGACCAAACTATAAACAACACAATGTAATTTTAAGACACTTTTTTACCCCTTTTCAAAAAAATAATTTACAATATAGCTACCAAAAAAAAAATCTTAAATTTATTCTTACTATTTTCTTCTTTTTTCCATATTTATTTGTTTTTACTCTAAAAAAAGAAATAGAATAAGAATCTCAAATAATGATTAAAAAAATAAATTCATAAGTGATATATTAAAAACTTATATTAGTCGTGGAATAAAAAAGGTCAGGTGAAAAGATTCAAATATAGTCTATATTAACCTTTTTAAAATAAACTTAAGTAGACAAAACAGTATATATGATACCTTTGTATTTAACAGTAAAAGAATATTGGTAATGCTCAATTAAAACTAAAGGTAAATTTTAATTCATAAGAGCCCTCAAAATAAGAACTGAAAAAGAAATCTCATTTCATACTTTTTTAAAATCTTCATTTTTTATGCTAAGAAGCAAACCTTTTCATGAAAAAGAGGATTTGGGTGAGTGATGAAGTTGTTGGCAGTAGGCCACCAATTTTGGAACTTAGGTAAATTCCTGAAGGTCAATTTCCGTAACTGAGGGAACTCAATGCCGTCAACATTGTCACTGCAAAAGTGAGTGAGGCATTCCAGATCTTGCAGTTTCAACACATATAAATTGGGGAACTTGATTACTTCATGTGTCATTCGAGAGATGTTGAATATATGTGTCACTAAATTACAAGCAGAGAGGTGGAGACATTTCACGTTCTGAAATTCATTCGGCTGCAACTCATTCAACACATTATTAGAGCCCTCTCCACTTGAAGTTACAAATTCACTCTTCTTCAACAGGTGGCAGATCCAACCAGCCAATGGGGTGGTCTCCGTGACCTCTAAAGCAATGCTCTTATCGTAATCATACATTTTATCTTCATAAGCACAACCCACTTTAATATTGTACCGTGTCAACTTGGAGGGAAGGACCAACTTACTGTAAGTCACATCTTCGGAACATTCATATAACGACAGTGCAGTCAATGCCGATAAGAATTCCAGTTCCATCAAGATGGAGCAACTACAATCTTTCACTCCCGTCAAATGTAGTTCCTCCAATCGAACTAGTCTTGATAAGACACCTGTTGAAATCCTTTTATCTACTTTATTCTCATTCAAAAACTCTAATACAATTAACTTGGTCAAATTTCCTATCTCCTCTGGCAGCTCATCTAACCGAGTATCTCTTATGCTTAGGATTTCCAAATTGACAAGTTTTCCAATAATAGATATGTCTTCCAAATCTAAATTAATCAGATGCAGCGTCCTCAAACTCGATAACCTCTGAATGGATGCTGGAAAACGACAAATGGAGCCCTCATGATATCTACCCATCAGGCTTAAGACTTTGAGTTCACCCATGTCATTAAAAAAATTATCCTGTAATTTGACTGGATTTCCAGAAAAGATTTTCAACATTAGAAGCTTCAGTTTTGGGCAAAATATTGGTCTAGGAAGCTCCTCAAATTCATTTGCAACTATGGACATGTGACAATATTGCTCATAAGTATCTTTTTTGGGGAACTCTTTTGAGTTCACATCATGCCTTACCATAAATTTGTGCTCTTCCTCAGATGCAATATATATAGCCACGTCACGTAACACATCATGCATTTTGACATAATTTTTGTCTGAACCTTGGGATAACAAGAAACTATCTTTCAATATTTCTATCAAAAAAAACACCCTATTTCTTGCATCTTCTAAATTTTTCATTTCCGAAAAAATGCCAAGACCCTTTCCGTATCTAAGTAATTCTTCAATCCAAATGTCACTATCTTCCTCAAATAAAGAACAAAGCAAAAATAGGTACCTGGCTTCAACACTTTCAATGTAATCATAGCTTAGCCTCAGAGGCCCATACACCTTTGTGTGCACTCCAGGGATATTTCTTGTATCTGCAGAACATAATTGCTTAAGGGCATCCTCCCACGAAGGCTTGGTTTTACGCTTTAGTGCTCCTGCAACTGTAATAATTGCAAGCGGCAATCCCTTGCATTCTTTGGAAACATCTTTTGCTATATCAAGCAGAGAAGGATCGTCGACTGAATTACCGACTTTCTCCTTGAAAAGGATCCATGCTTCCTCTTCAGGTAAAGTTCCAATTTCCATGATCTTCTGAGCCTTCATTATATCACAAACAGGTCGGAGACGTGTCGTCAATATAACTTTGCACCGGTAGTTGTGGTTGCTACCGGTGAAAATTCCGAGTTTCTCTAGATCATAAAGAGCCTCCCAAACATCATCCAAGATTACAAGAGTACGGCTGTTGTGAGCCATTAACCTAGTACGCAGCTGATCTCCACGACTCAACAAATCATTCCCTTGTAATGTAAGTCCGACCCCTCTTGCGATCTCCTCCTGAATTCTTTTAGGGTCCTGTTGTTGACTGACAATTACCATAACAACATCATTGAACAACTTTTCTTGTTTCGCCTTTCGTCTGATTTTTTCAGCCAGTGTCGTCTTACCAACACCACCCAGACCGCATATCCCAATAGTTGTGACCCCGTCATCGTTCAAAGCTGCCATGACCTCATCCTCTTGCAATTTTCTAGAATCAAACTCCTCAGCGCTGTTGATAGGTAGAGGTTCATTTTCAACAGCAGGATAGCAGAAAACAGCATAATTGTTGCCTTCATTTCGAAGTTCAATCAACTCCAATGCAATTCTCTTAGCTCTCCTGCTCAGGGAGTAACGTGACTTCAAGTTTGGACACCAATCATATCTATCAACCTCATTTCTACCTCGTCGTGTTACATCTGCCACCTCAGCAGTAATGGTAGCAACACTAGTAAACCAAGCCTCAACATTGGGTGAAATGACTTGTAAGTTTCTCCGGTTAGCCTCGGCTCTTTGATCCACCCCAATTCTGATATTCTCCAGCTTCTCAGATTCATTTTCCATACATGTGATGTTTCTCTTGTAGTAAACAAAATACCCGATCCATCGCGCAACTGGCTTTATCAAGCAACCTGTTACCTTGTCCACCAAACCATATGAGAAGAATTCCATATTTGATTAATTCTTCACTAGATTTCTTAGTTACAAAGCAGAACGAAAACAGGTTGAGAGTGAATTGAAAGCTGATAATTGCAGGACTACTATTATTAACAGCTAAATTATTGAGGGAAAAAGGACAATTGCATTTTTTCAAACGTGGACCTGCAATAAATTGAAAGTGACTAAACAACAAACACATTTTTTTTTAGTCAGACAAATTAGGGGAAAGGCGCATGTCAAACTGGCAAACAAAGTAGAATTACATTGCAGTTTCTCCCTTACTAGTTATCAAATAAATATTCACAAATTGAAAACAGTTGTTCCCTTAACAACCCACATGAAGGGAGATTAAGAAGTAACTAAGTTCTTTCACGGAAATTATTCATTCACCCCAAGCACAATAAGACATTGCTGTTACAAAAGTCCCAGACATGCCTGGAGACAATTTTGCGCATCATCCCATTGCATATTTCTGAGTCCAGCTACGAGCAGTGGTTTCGTATTTGGCCCTGTCAGTCTTGTACATGTGAGCAATTTCAGGTACAAGAGGATCATCTGGGTTTGGGTCTGTCAACAGAGAGCAGATGGACAGCAAGACCTTGGATATGGTTAATGCTGGACTCCACTGCTCCTTAAGAATATCTAATTAGTGCTTCCTCCGTCCCTTTTTACTTATCCACTTTTTCTTTTATAGTTTTTATAATTACTTGTCCATTTTAACAAATCAAGAAATGACAATTTTTTAATCTATTATACCCTCAATTAAATGATTAATTTTTGATATTTTTGCATAGTTTAAGGGCATGTTTAGCCAAATTATTATCGTCAAAGACATTTTTGAACCACATCATAAATAAAAAATATTTTTATTCATTTCACATAGTTTAAGGATATTTTTTTAACCTTTTTCCCAGGATAAAATATCTACATAATTTTGGGCCACTACTAAACTACTTTTAATAGTACAGTCAATCAATGTTAAATTAAAAGTTGTTTCAGCAATGAAATGTTAGGGTTGTCTGGTTAGCACACAAAATTATAGGTTTTGAATTATAATTTTGAGATTATTTTACTTCATCTAAGAGGTAAGATAAAATAATAACAAATTGAATAGGATAAGATAGAATATCTAGTATTAACATTGAGAATAAATTACTCTATCTAATTGAAAGTATAAATTTAAAATAGACAGAAATATTCAATAAAGACATTATACTATGTCAATTTGAAATAATCAGTACTCTCATATTGCAAGGTTGATAATTGCAAGGCCTTCAGCTAGGTACTACTATTAACTCTCCTTCACATGGACATGTACTATCTTGAAAGTGACTAAACACCAAACACATTAACACCGACAACTAATTGGTTGAGGCACTTCAACGAATATTTTTATTTGTTCAATTTTATACAAGTCTAAGTGTTTAATTGTACACATTCAAAGTTTGAAGGCATGTATATCAGTTGAAGTCAAATTAAATATGATATTTATATATTATGTCTATCATATATCATCATATCATATCATAATATTAAAAAATCATATCATATTATTAAAAGAAGCTCATATCTACAAAGTTAGATTATGATTTTTTTGTTATAGTACTTTATTAATTTTTTGTAAATAAAACATCCAATCTAATAAATACTTCTTTTATTTCATATTTAATTGAATTTGTGAGACAATACACACTTATTAAAAAACATTTAATGACCTAATTTAAACCATAATATCCACTATTATCCTTTGAGAAATCATAAATATAATTTGGCAAATAGTATAATTTTTCTCCTAGAAAATATCAAACTTCATTAAAGGAAAGGACAAATATAATTTTTTTTTTGAGGAAATACATCATTACCCGATTTAACTATAATAATTTTTTTAAAAAGACACTTAAACTTTGTAAAGGTCTACTAACCCTTAAATAATTTAAAAGTTGTAAAAGTATTCCATTATTGGTCAACCCCAAATTTAAGAAGGAATGTGAACACACGCACTAATTGCTACGTACCACGTGTCAATTATTTTATTTTTATATTTTTACTTTTGTTTATATTTTCATATATATTACTTATTCTATTTGTTTTTCTAAAAAAAATAAAAAGAAGTCTTATTCTTCTTCTTTATTCTATTTGTTTTTCTAAATAAATAAATTTAAAAAAAGGTTTGTTCTTCTTCTTTTTCTTCGGTGACCTCTTTCTTCACGCTGCCACCGCCCGCCGGCGATACTCTACCATAGCCACCATCCACACACTTCAACACCATCTCAACCATTTTTAATAGGAAAAATCAAAAATAAAATTAAAAAATAAAAACACTATCAAATCTCCGGCACTTTTTCTTCGATTAATCAACCATTTTTTATACTTCGCCTTTAATTTTTACTCAAAATCAACATTTATTGTATCTATGAAGGCTGCAAATCTCTCTCTGACTTAGATACGATATTCTGAACTTGACCCCGACGATTCTCCCTCCATCGTCATCAAATCTTTGACACTTTTTTCACCGGTCTTCGACACAACCTCACTCCGCTTTCATCTCTTTCTCCGTCAATAATCTCATCACTTTGATCTCCCTAAGCTGAAAAGTCAGTGCAAGAACTCTTCTGGGTAAACTTTAATGTCAATTAAGGAGATAAAAAAAATAGAAAATAACATAAAACAAAGAGAATAAAGTAAAAGAAAATAACATATTAATTAAATAAATGTTAAAAAAAATAATATTTTTTTACTTGTCTCACTAGCTAGTGGCAAGGGAACTACACTCTATGTGCCACGTAGGATCATAATGGGACAATAAATTCACTCTAGATGAATAGGGGGGGGGGTATTAGGACCTTTTCAAAGTTTTAGTTCTTTTTTAAAAAAAGTATTTTAGTTGAATAGGGTAATGATGTATTTCATCAAAAAAATTCAAATATTTATCTTGATCTTTGAACAATTTAATTATTTTGAACGATGAAAAAAAGTCCAAAAATTTAGTTCATTTAGAATAGAGTGAGTAATATTTAAAATATATTATCCTCTTCGAAATTAAGGCTTATAATATCATAAGATTGAACTCAATTTAATTTATCTTGAGTCCAACCCTTAAAATCCAGGGCTGATAGGAGCGGGTTACCTATATTTGGGCTCATTATTGACACCCCTAGGTTATAGTATAATTAAGAATTTGTTAAATAAAGAAATGTGTAGTTTAACTAAAAAACATGTCATATAACTCGGAATAGAGGCAGCAAAATGTTTGTTGGTTAGTTAAAATAAAGTTATTTACCTATACAATTTAATATGATATTTTATTTACAATTTAGAACTTTGTATAATTAATATAGGTATAAATGACGAGATAAAATAATTAACATTTACATAATTTTTGTGTAACGATCTGTTTAGTCGTTTTGAGCAGTAGAGTTTATTTCTGGTAATCACTGTCTGGGTCGACGGATCCCACGACGGACCGTCATGGACACGACGGACCGTTGAAGGGGTCTCGTTCCAAAACACTTAGAATTCTGAAATTTGGGTACTGAGATCGACTCTCTGAACTTCGTGACGGAATGGCAGGACGGACCGTCGTTGGCACGACGGACCGTCACAAATCTTTCCACAGAATTAACTCTCTGAACTTTGTGACGGACCGTCACAGTCATGACGGACCGTCACAGGCTGCGTAACCCTGACTGGGTCGGATTTCCATTAAAAGTTTTTAAGGGGCGTTTTGGACAATTCCTGCTATAATTATAAAGTTAGTGGGTTAATGTTAATAATTTAATTACTTGGGGGTTAAAGGAGATAACCTTGAAATAAATAGTGGGTTACTTTTATCATCTTTTATACTTAATTATATGACAATTAGGGGTAAAAGAAAAAGGGTTTGAATAAGAAAAAACAGAAAGAACAGAGAGAAAAGGGAGAAACGAGCGAGAGAAAGAGAAGAACGCAGAGGAAAGCAAAGGTTTTGGGGAGATAGCTTGTTTGATCGCGATTCTTCGGTGGAGGTAGTTATGGTTTATGCTATTTCATAGTAAAACTCTTAATAGCGAATGATATGTATTGGGTAGTATTGTAAAGTCTCTATATGCTTAATTGTGTGCTTGCATGATGTGATTATGTAATTGTAATGAATTAGAAAGATAAGGCTGTGAATCTTAAACCTTAAATCCACTTTGTTAATGATGATGCCTTGGTGTAAAAGAAGGCTTGATGAACTAAAAGAATGAGATTAAGGGATCGGGTGTCACGAACCGACACGTAGAATTAGGGGATCGGGTATCACGAACCGACACGTAGAATTAGGGGATCGGGTGTCACGAACCGACACGTAGAATTAGGGGATCAGAGTGTCACGTTCCGACACCAGGATAGTAGAGGATCGGAGTGTCACGTTCCGACACCAGGATAATAACGAGAATGAATATTTAGGGGATCGGAGTGTCACGTACCGACACAAGAGGAATAAAGAGAATGAATCTTGAATTATGTTAATATACTCAAGTTGAAGAACTTAATTCCTAAATGAGTATGGTGTGGAGGCTTGAGTCCTCATAGATGTGTTTTGGTGTTGTTGCAAATGACTCTTGACTTGTTGATTGTCACCTGTTAAGTATTGTGGTCGATTTTATGTTATTGATCAATATATATTGCTTTCTATTCTGAGTTGGCCGATGATACCTACTCAGTACGTGTTTCTTGTACTGACCCTCACTTGTAATTTTCCTTTTTGTTATTTGTGGAGTGCAGCAAACGTACCATCAACTTCAACTCGTCCGCAACTCTAGCCAGTGTTCATCACACCAGATTTTAGGGTGAGCTAACACTTCTAGCTTGGACTGGATCTTCTTCTTCACGTCTTGATGCCTTGAAGTTCTGGCATGGACTAGTTGTTTATTTATTTTAGTTTCTTAGATACTCTTAGATTTAGCAATTTGAGGACAGATGCTCTTGTGGTGATGACTTTCAGATTTTGGGAATAATAAGTATTGAGTTTTAGAAGTTATTTAATCGATTTTCATTAATGAGTTTTAAGTCTTCTGCATTATATTTTGTTTATTATGGTTGAAATGTTGGGGTTTAGATTTGTTGGTTCTCTCACATAGTAGGATAAGTGTGGGTGCCACTCGCAGCTCGTTTTGGGTCGTGACAAAATTGGTATCAGAGCATTAGGTTCGTTGGTCTCATCACAC